GAAAAGTTAAAAACAACATTTCACAGCTGGTCAGCATAAAAAATAACTTGTCGGTTTTACTTTACAGATAACACCTGTATGTCTTAAATAATACACATGTACATTATTCATCTAAAGACTTTTATACAGTATAAAATTTCTGTTTGTAAGAATAATGAAAATCTGACTTTTTAAAGAATTTATGTTTTTATAATATTAAGTAAAACTGATTGTAAAGTCTATGCTATCCATCACAATAGATTGTTCTGTAATACATCCAAGTCAGGTAGCAGAGAAAATGTTTTTCAGTTTTGCCACACATACAGAAAGCTTCTCTGAGTGGAAAAAAAAAAAAAAGTTCTACAGTGAAGGTCCTAAGGAAATTTCCTTTGCAAGAGAAGAAAAAATGATCTAATCTCTTCTATTATCTGAGCTCTGATCAGAACTTCTTTGTATTCCCCATCAGTGCAGCCTAGAGGAGAACAGGAGTTAGGGTAAGTGTCCGTGCGTGCTAATGTGGGTGAGACTGTAAGTGCATGCACTGGTGTATCAAGATGCACATTCTGTCACTGTGGAGCACAGGAAGAGATGGAGAGAGAAATGGTGTTGGAAAAGGAGGGAAGAAGGTTACTGAAGAACAGTCCCTTGGAAAACCCTCTAAAATCCTTTAGGAGTCATATCAAAGCTATAATAGTAAATACACTCCTTTCCCTAATGCCAAATTGTAGTCCTGGATTTTGAAGCGGTCTTTCAAGAACTAGAATTTGAAAAATGAAGTGATCCAGGAGGAAAAGTTTCACCTAGAGTATTAAAGCATTCATAAATAGAGCCTTGCAGCAGTGGAGCAGTTCCCATTCACAGCATCCATGCATCCTGCTACCAAGGGAGAGGATTCTGCTCAGAAGGCAGCCAGGCCTGGAGTAGGAATCTTGATGTGAGAAAGGAAAACAAAGTGGAGAGATAGTGATTCTTCTACATAGGAGGTAAGGAGCAGGTGTTTGGCTGGAGGAATATTTTACTGTCGGATATTTCCTCACTTTTACCATTATAGTTTGGGGTGAGAGTAAGGATCTGACACTTTAGCAAATGGAAATTTGAGAAAAATGCTGCTTACAAGGATACAGAAATCCTATGGAGTGAAGCTATACTGGAAATACAGAGCTCAGAACACCCACAAGTGTTAGCCTCTTGTTTTTCTCCCCCTCTATATTTGTAATTTCCAGTTAAGATTCCAAGCATCTATCCATCCAATAGGACCCATCTCTGAACTGTGAACTCCGTGAAAACATAGCTTATTCACCTCCACAAGCCTCCAGAGAGCCTTACAAAGCCCTTGACAGATATTTGTTAAACTGGATAGATTTTAAGAGGGGTTGTGGGTCGAACACCAAATTAAGAGTTAGGAGATTTAGGTTTCAGGAGAGTTGCTGATAATAGCAGCAAGTCACTTCAGCCTCAAGATCTTAGTTTCTCATTGGTAGATGGAAGACATTGCTTTAAATTATCTCCAAGATTTTAACTCCCAAGATTACAATTCCCCAAGATTGCAAATTCCAATTTGTAACATTTTGGAATAGAAACTTTCTTCTTTGGGAGAAACATACAAAACTATATATTGGTTGAATTTGTGGTCATATGTTCTATAAATGTAGTGGAAATTTCTCATTAAATTTGCACAAATAAAACTATTTGTTAGAATAGCAAAATATTAAAGTAACAAGCCACCTACACATGATTGTGTGTATATTTTGAGTTTCTACTGTAAGACATAAACTTTAGCTATTTACCCCAGTGAAAATAACTTCCTTGAACTAACAGACATTAATTTGGGGGGAGCAAAGAAGTTCAGCCTAATTGACTAAGATAATATTTGAAAAATATTACCCAATGAGCTTCCTGAAGTGTTCAAGTAACTTTCACAGAAAATAAAAACACATCCAAGCAGAATTTTTCTGAATAATTAAGAAATTACTCATTAATATCTACAAGCTACTATGATATGTGATTCTAATAAATATTTGGGACTCGATATTCACATTTGGAGCTTTAACTGTTCTTCAATGTATTATAAGTATTTGAACACACTGATCCAAATGATTCATTTGCCAAATTCAAAGGCATAAAATTCAGATTCAGGATTCATTGAGAAAAGCAGTTTTGTTTTTTTTACAGGAGGAGAAAAGCTTCAATAAGAAGATTAAGTTGGAATTTCCTTACATTTTAAGTAAGAAATGTCTGCGGATGTAAACAATTTATAATTAATAACTTTAAACTGCTGACACTTGAAATACCTATCTATCAAAGTGATCCTTTGAGGTTAAAAAGGATGAAATGGTTAAATTTATTGAATAAAGTTTGTTTTGGACATGGTATTTTTATGCCAAATACTGGAGTCTTTTTTCACTGGTAAAAAACAAATTGTTTGCTATTTGTGAACAAACAATAATGACCACTGGAGAGAGGATAGCCAGTATAAGGCCGAAGGATATTCATGAGATAAAGCTTGCTCCAACCTCCATGCACTTCCTTTATAACCTGACCCATCCACCTGGCCTTGGGTGATGGACTGAGGGACTTAGTATTAAAAGAGATAGCCTTCAGCAGAAACTTCTAGTTCCCCTCAGAATCCATCAGGCACTATTGGATGCACCAGGGCCAACAAGCTCTTAATTTATAAGCAAGAATCAGATGTTACAACAGGTTTATTTGCCTCCCTGATAACACCAGAGGGTGCTCCAGGCAGAGGACAATGGGTACCATTACTGAGCAATTCTGGAATTTCCTCCAGAGGTTTATCGCTATCTTGAGGGCCTCAGGTCAGTCCTGGATCCTCATGGTACCCTTCCTAAGAAGTAATCAGCTAAGGGAATCACTGGAGCCCCCACTGTCTTCAGGGTCACTGAAGTTAAAAAAGATTGAAACGTGCAAATTCTATCAGTTTTATTTTTCACTGGTACATTTGTGGATTAACCTGAAGAACGACGGGGGGTGGGGGAAGGGCGGGGAGGAGCTGCTCCTGCCCCTACAGTAGCAGATCTTCTAGCTATAACCAGATAGCTGTTACCAAGTCACTGGATTTTCCTTCTACCCTCTTAGAATCGGTAATTAGAGGAAACAAAGAGGTCTAAGAAAATGAGTAACTGTGACAATGCTACCAGCCTACTAATAAGCACCAATACCCTCCTCCAAAAAAAACTATTCTTTTTCTCCTAAAAGGAATTTCTGAAAATGACAGTAGTTCAAGGCCTATAGGATGTAGGTTTGCTTTAGGAGACAGAAAGTAAATAACACATATGGGTATTTATCATTTAAACGAGAAGAAAAAGAGAAAGTGTAAGCACAAAATTTAAAAATCTTTTGGGAAAAAATTAAGCAGAATTCCTTTCAAGAGTTAACTCTTTCCCTTCCTGCCTTTCTAAAGCAAAGGAAGTTCCAGTGGCTGGGATTAAGTGACAGATTGTGGGCACTGACGAAAGGCAAGCAGGAGAAAGAGGGGAGCCCGCCCTTTGCACACAAAGCCACAAAGTTCCCAGGCCGCTGGCGGCTCTGCCCTGAGGCACCGGAGAGCTCTGGGCACGGCGACGCGCCAGGAAGCGCCCGCGGCTGTCCAGCTGCCCCGCCGCTCTGCTGGTGGCAGGGAGAAGTTAGTCACCCCGGAGCTCGAACCCAGTGACGGTGGGAACTCAAATAGCGTGGGGAATGAGGAGACAGGAAACACTGTACCCGGATGGTTGGGAGGAAGCGAAGGGAGCACAGGGACCAGGGGACGCACAGGAGGCTGAAAGCACTGGTTTGGTGGATGAAGTTGCGCGGTCTGCGTGGCCAGAGCGCACCGGCATGCAAAAGGGAAAAACTTGGAGCAGGATCTTCCAATCCAAGGTTAGAAAGACAAGCGAGAAGGGGGCAGGGAGAGACTAATGTCTCAGTAACTTTAAAAACACATCAAAACACCCCTTCAGGCGATGAGGTAAGCCGAGGTTAGCAAACCCGATTGGTTGTGAAATATCAGACAGACCCAGAGTCGCTGTGGCTTTAAATGAGACCAAAGAAATTTTCTGTTTTTCTTGCCCAAATATTTTTTCTCCTCGCCTTGGTTCCCTCCTTTGTCCCTCCTTCCATCCCGCCAGGTCCAGATCCCTTCCTCCTTCTTCATCTCCCTTTCCTCGATCACCCTCCTCCCTTTTCGCCCTCCCCCCATCTGATTAGGCGCGGACCGGGAAGGGTGGGAGTGGTGGGGGAAGCTCTCCCTTTAAGAGGCAGCGTGCAGTGACGAATTGTTGAAATTGCCATTGCAGGATGGCATGCCGCTATAAATTCATTGTTCCACCTCCTCGCATCTTCACAGCGCTCGCGCTGCTCTCAGCGCTCGCAGCGGCCAGCTGGGACTGGGGATGACTGCGGGAAGGAAGACACCGCAGCTGAAGAGACACGGACACATCGCTTCACCAGCTCGCCGCAGGCCGCCCCATGCGTTTTTGTTTTAATTTTTATGGCTTTTTTCCGTCTCTTTTTCCCCTTCCCGCTGGTTCCAGCAGAGTCGAGAAAACCCACAAAATAAGAAAGGAAGTGGGCCCCAGAGCTTGGAACCTCCGCAGCCAGCGCGTCCCGAGCAGCCAGCTGGCGGGTGGCTGCGCGCACCAGTTGCCGGCCGGGTGCGCGATACCTCCTTCACTTTTTTTGGTACAACGATCGTGACTGCATTTGGGTTTTTCTCTTTCCTGTATTTGCTGAATCTCCACCACCTGCTTTTTTGTTGTTGCTGTTGTTCCTTTTCTTTCTTTTTTTCTTCTTCCCCTTCTTTCTGGAGCACAAATCTAAACATTTTCCAAACCAACAAAGAAAAGTTCGCAGGTTGGGTACCGTGCCCCTGACAGGCTGGCGCTGCTGCGGGTCCTCCTCCCTCCGACACTTGACTCAACCTTGCAAGCAAGTGTGTGTGTGCCCCCATCCCCCGCCCCTGAAACTTCCCTAGCAAATAACAAATACCTATAAAGTGCCCGTCGCGCAGCCCCTCCCCGCGGGCAGCGCACTATGCTGCTCGGGTGGGCGTCCCTGTTGTTGTGCGTGTTCCGCCTGCCCCCGGCCGCCGCCAGTCCCGCCGCGGCACCTGCCCAGGATAAAGCCGGGCAGCCTCCGGTTGCTGCAGTGGCCACCCAGCCCCGCAGGCGGCAGGGGGAGGAGGCACAGGAGCTGGTCGAGCCTCTGGGCCACCCTCTCCCCCTGAAGCCGCAGCGCAGGAGCAGCGGGCTCGTACAGAATATCGACCAACTGTACTCTGGAGGTGGCAAGGTGGGCTACCTCGTCTACGCGGGCGGCCGAAGATTCCTGCTGGACCTGGAGAGGGATGATTCGGTGGGCACTGCTGGCTTCGTTCCCGCAGGAGGCGGGCTGAACGCACTCCGGCGCCACCGGGGCCACTGCTTTTACAGAGGCACGGTGGACGGCAGCCCTCGCTCCCTGGCTGTCTTTGACCTCTGCGGGGGTCTCGACGGCTTCTTCGCAGTCAAGCACGCGCGCTACCGCTTAAAGCCACTATTGCGCGAGCCCTGGGCGGAAGCAGAAACTGAGCGAGTGTACAGGGATGGGTCTTCGCGGATCCTGCACCTCTACACCCGCGAGGGCTTCAGCTTCGAGGCCCTGCAGCCACGCGCCAGCTGTGAGACCCCCGCGTCCCCGCCGGGGTCCCACGAGCGCCCCCCGGCGCACAATAATCCGGGCCGACGCGCAGCTCCGGCCCCACAGCTCCCAGACCACTCAACTCTCTTGCCTGCCGGGGGTACCGGACCTCAGATTTGGTGGCGGCGGAGACGCCGCTCCATCTCCCGGGCCCGCCAGGTGGAGCTGCTCCTGGTGGCTGATGCCTCCATGGCACGGATGTATGGACGGGGCCTGCAGCATTACCTGTTGACCCTGGCCTCCATCGCCAACCGGCTTTACAGCCATGCCAGCATCGAAAACCACATCCGCTTGGCGGTGGTGAAGGTGGTGGTGCTGGGCGACAAGGACAAGAGCCTAGAAGTGAGCAAGAACGCAGCTACCACTCTCAAAAACTTTTGCAAATGGCAGCACCAACACAATCAGCTGGGAGATGACCACGAGGAGCACTACGATGCGGCCATCCTATTTACTCGGGAGGTAGGTGCAGCTGGGGCGGGCGCCCAGCATTGGGATAAGGAGGTAGATGGAAGGGACTGTCTTGCTGATAGCTTCGCGTCTCTCACAAACTACCTGCCACTATGGATTTGCTTGACTGCATCTTGCAGAAAATCCAGCCAGCCTCCAACTCTGCCTGTGTTCACAATAGCCTCCACAGCAATTTGTGCCTTAAGTGACTACCTGCGTACCACAATGCTGGATGTCATCCAGTCTGAGATCGGGTAATTCAGGTACACGCACATGATAAGAAGTCACTAAGTCACTAGAGTGCTTGGGAGATACACACCCTTAAATGCAAAAGAGGAAAGGAAGATTGCTTTTGGAATCATGGGTCTTCACTTTCCAGTGAACCCGAAAATATGACTTTGTCCAATCTAATGACAAAGGCTTGAAAGTCCATGCATGTCAGTCACTTTTATCTGCTTGATGACCTTCCTTACTGAAGTGTCCCTGTTTGAACCCCCTCCACAACACCAGGGAAGGGAAGACTTTCCAAAGAACTCCTTTTATAACGTGGTTTCCTAAAGGAGTTCTGACATGTCCACCTTGGGATCTCAGTTCCTGGGAAGAAAGGAATGTGGGAGGGTAGGGAGGATATTGAAGCCCAATCAGCTGAAAGAACAAACTTGGGAGGCTTCTTTACAAGTCCACTGCCTAGTCTACCAGTGTATCACAAGCACCGCCCTCTCCCACTCTGCAGCCAAACAAGGGTGGCATCATAATTTGCAGGTTAGTGTTTTGGATGAGGATGTTTCTGAAGCCCCATGGCAGAAGGTCTGGAAAAAGAGTCAAGACATGAGGAAGGAATGTTTTCCCAGGACTTCCTCATTTTAAGGAGGATGGTTACAGAAAAGGAAAGAAATTGATCTTTATAAGCCCAGAGGCTTTGGGAGGAGTACAATATCTATTTCCAGTTATTAGACCACCACGTTAGTGTGACATTCAGACAAAAAGTCTGGATTGGTTTGGGGCCTCACTTGCTGGTAGTTCTGAGCCTCAGTTTTCACATCTCTGCTTGGATTGGCAGTTTTAACTTGTGCCTCTTAAATGCCTGGTAAAATTCAACTTTTAAAGCTCACTCTTTAAGTGTTTGAGTTGCATCCAAAATAGACAAGGGATTACAAACTTTGAAGTACTATGCAAAATGGTAAAAGGGAGCAAAGAGAGAAAGGATATGAAATTAAATGATCCATTACAGGATGCTTCAGAATCTTACAACTTTGCTACCTAATTTTTCTATTTTTACCAAGGCACCCATGGTATGAAGGAAAAGCGTTGGTAAATTTGGAGTAGAGAAACGCTTGTGGTTCATGGGCTGGACATAAATGTAAACCACATGTAAACAAAGACACTGGAAGGAGGTACTTTGGGGAGATCCAGGCTGTACACTGTGTGGTGCACAATGGAAAATCTTTCTCCTCATTCAGTGATGTTCTGGAAGCCATCCTTTAATTCCTCTGCACAGCATTAGTCTTTGAAACGGTAGAACATTCATTTTGTAGCCTGCCCTATGAAGTTCTCCTGTAAAACTATCCCTTTCTTACTTGGTTTCCAAGTCCTTTTTTTTTTTTTTTTTCATAAGCAACTTTCCATGTCTGGGTTTCCTTGCTTTGCCAAGAAGAAGGCTTTGGGGAGTTTATAGAAGGAAGCTCCCAAAAGAAAAAGGAAAAAATACTTTTGTAAGCATACTGCTCCAAAAAGTAGGTTGTTTTAATAATTTTCTTTCATTTTTTAAGACAAAAGCACAGTCCACAGCTCTAACATAAATAAAAATGAATAGAATGCCCATCACTTTTTGCCCTCTGCCCCATAATTTTCCTAATTGTTTCCCAGCTCAGAAAAATGGAAACTAGTCAGTATTTCTAAGTTATGCCTCTTACTTTTTCCTGGTATGTTTTTGGCTTGGATAGTTAACAGTTCCTGTTTTCCAAACTGAAACTTATTGGTACATTTTAAACAGAAAAAAGCAAGAGAGAAATAAATTAATGACCTATCTTAATTTTAATAAGTATTATAATAACATACATTTTTCACACTAGGCCACACATGGGAAATATCTTACAGGAACCCTCCTGAGTTCCTTGCCAAGCAGAAGCATAGTTTAAAGCAAATCTCATTAAGTTAGAGTTGGCCCTCTATTATATTCATTCAACTTCATGAAAACTGAATATTTGAAAAGTACTTGTCTTAAGAATTAGGTGCATGTGCACCCAATTTAAAAGAGTTCTACTAGGTGGCTCAAGACCTTTATGCCACATTTATTTGAGAGTATTTAAAATGTGAAGTTAGTCTCTGCCTAATACTTCAGAAAGTGAAAAGCAGGAAGTGGAAGGATTATCTGAACTCTTCTACATCATGGAAATCAGGTATCTTAAGGCCTAAAGAAAAACTTTCATAGCTATTTCTTTTCAATGAGAAATACCCAGAGTTGGCACCAGGATTCAACTTTTACAACTCTGTTTTGAATGTAAGAAGTCCGTTGCTTAGCAGCCAGACGCCAAGCCTTGAAGTCCTTGTTTTCATGGGCTCTGAGTCCTGTTCAAATTTTGTGTCCAGATGTCTTCTCCTAAATTGCTTGTTTTTCAAGCATGAAGGAAATGTGTGAGGATATGTTTTCTACTCCTATTTACTAGCCGAGGCCACCTTGAACATTGTGTCTGGGAGTCAGCAGAATAGTCTTAATAATTCCTCTTTCAAGCTAACATACTTCAACAGTCAGGACTGTACCCCAGCACTTTTTGGTACAGTTCTAATTAGAGACACTCAGCACTGGTCAATTTTCTGGCACAGTAACCATTTTCATGGTGAAATGGCACTTATGCTGGAATTCACACCACTTTTGCCATCAAAATCCAACAGAAGTCCAGCCTCCCCAGGATTTATTTTGCTTTCCAGAGTCCCTTCCTTGTTCCTGACTTCCTCTTTTATTTTAAAATAATTTCCTTAAAGACACTCTGAAGCCCATTTTGTAGACTACTCCCTCTTCTTTGGAAACAAAAGCCTAGTTGGGTAATCTTTTAACATTCCTTCCCCTAATCCCAGCACAGCACCAGTGAAAGCTTTACTATTTCATGATTTGAAAGCATGGGATTGACAATGAAATAGCTAAGACACTGTGCAGTATAAAAGGTTCATTCTCTTTCATTATCAGTGTGCCTTTTAATAGATAATTCTCTCCCAGCTAAAACCTCTTTCCTCCCATTCTACTTTGTGATACTGGGACTGGGACATGGACATTCCTCCTTTACCACAGAATTCCTTCTTAGGTTCTGACAATAGGGGGCACTAGAGGGAGACCAGAAGTTATGATGAGTGATGTACTTTTTCCTACTGACTTGCTGACTGCTCCAACTAATTCAATCACATATTTGAGTTCAAATCCATGTAAAGCCAAAAGTGAATGCTTATCAAAGAGTTACAGCCTAAGGGTCAAACATAACTCATAAAAGGCTAGATAACTCAGATATGGGATGATTAGTAGCAGATGAAGAAGCTCTAGTTGATTTTTTTAAATGTAAGAAATATTCTGAAATTTTTAAATTCTGTTAGAAAATATGCCACAACACAGGATCTATTGATCATTGTTACGTTTCTCACATTAACTCCAACGCACCCACTATGTGTGGGACACTCGTTCAGGCAGCTAAGGACACCAAGATAGAAAATACCTTATCCCTGTCAACCAGGCTTACCACCATCAAACGAAGAACCAGATACATGCATAAATCACTCTAATGTTAGGAAAGCTGATAAAAGCTGTAACTGGGCTATAAACGAAGTCTGTGAAAGGAAAGAGGACAGAAACAATTAAGTATGCCTATGTATCTTTACATAGGTCTTGCAAATGTAGAGCTGTATTGGTCCTCAAGATGGACAGATGTGATTTGAATTCAACTTAAGTACTATCCATTGGTGTAAATCATTTTTATTACTAATCCTTTCAGCAATCTGCAGCTATCATGCTTCTTTTAATTTGACAGATAAGGACATTCATTTGAAGAGAAGCAAAGCTAATCTTTGAGCAACAGATGATAAATAGAAGAGAGATAGTTTTGTTTGGTGCTCTCAAAACTAAAAATACTGTAAATTTATCCAAACATTCAATATATTTTATATAGGCAGAGAGATTCAGAGGCTTGAAATGTGACCCTTTCCCTAAGAATCTATTCCAGGAAGCATACAAAGTGTATTATTTTTTGGTCTACCATAATGACTTTCATGGTAGATGCGATTGTCAGATGTCAGGGAAGCAAATGAAGTTACTGAACCCACCTCAGTTCAATTCTGAAGAAGGACTAAGAGTAAACCACACCCATAAGGAGGAGCTAAGCATTGCAGCCACTCTAAACCACCATCTGCCTAGCCAGAGGCAGCATAGTGATTCCATGGAAGGTAAAGAGTAGATTGTAATAGGACAGGAATGGGAGGCTGAGGATGATAACAGATTCATTGGGAAAAAAATTAACAACCAGAATACAGAAGAAATTGTGTGTCACATATATTGGTTTGCTTGGGCTACCATAACAAAATACAATAGAATAGGTGTATTTAACAACAGAAGTAGATTTTTTTTTCCTCCCAGTTCTGGAAGCTGGAAAGTTTAAGATCAAATTTCTGATTTATAGATGGCAATTTTTTCACTGTGTGCTCACATAGGTTTTCTTTTGTGTGTCCACTTAGAGAGAGAGAAAGAGAGACAGAATGACAGAGAGGAAAAAAGAAAGAGAGAGATTAATAGTGTGTGTGTGTGTGCATGTGTGTGCGTGAGTTTTCTGGTGAGTGTTAAGGACACTCCAGATCCTATCTGATCTGGGTCCCACGTTTATGACCTCATTTAACTTATTTGCTTTCTTCTTATAGGCCTTATATCCAAATACAATCCCACTGGGAGGTAGGGCCTCAATTTAGGAATTTAGGGAGGACACAAATCAGCTCACAGCACCATTTTAAGAAGTTAAATGCAGTGGGAGTCAATGGAA